TGTGTGTGTGTGTGTGTGTGTGTATGTATGTATGTATATATATATATATATATCTCTCTCAGTGGAGGCTCCTCAGAGGAGGAAGGGGAGGACCATCCACAGTGACATTTTATAAAAATAGTGAAACATAAAAAGTGATTATATTTTTAGATTCAACTATACTAAATATATTCATATGTCACCAAATAATTGATTAAAACACACTGTTTTGCAATGAAGGTCTATAGCACCTTCAACGGAGGACAGCTAGCTTCCGTTTTACTCTGGCTACATTGACTTCAATACAAAACCTAGGAGGCTCGTAGGCCTCACCCGCTTACATAAACCTACATGGTAATTATGACCACTTCCGGAGGACGACCTCCAACCAATCAAAGCTTTTGCAGTATGAACTGACATGTTGTCCATCCAATGATAGGATTAGGATCAGAAAATGAACCTAGTGTGTTGTATTGGGGTTGTTCCGCAGAGCATTATGGGGGGTTCTATGTGTTGAGAAGCTTGGTGAGTTGGTGACTTTATTGGATAGCGATTTAGAGTGAAAATTGATAGTTGAGCATTTTTGGAAGACTCACCAAGAGAGACTGAGGAGGTAGATTATAAATTGTTTTCTTGGTTTTACATTTACATTTTAGTCATTTAGCAGACGCTCTTATCCAGAGCGACTTACAGTTAGTGAGTGCATACATTTTTTTATTTTCTTTTATACTGGCACCCCATGGGAATCTCTTTAGAACTTTCATTTTTGTGTCCAGTTGTAACAGTAACAGCTAGCTAGCTTCCAGCACGAGCGTGCAGTTTTCGCCGCCTGAATGGCAGAATGGCCAACGCTACCGAAAATGTTGTGGACTTTTTGTTGAAGAACCCCTTTCATTCTCTGGGGTACACGGAAAAGGTGCGAATTAAAACTGAGCGTTGACCACTGCCTGAGATCAGTTTAATGAGGAAGGATGAAAAGGTGAGGGCGTTCAATACCAATTGGTATCAAAGATATAGCTGATTAACAGACAGACAGCTTTTCATCAAGGCGCCTGTATTGTTGGCCTTGCCTGCTTTTTAAAAAGTATTGGGTGAAAGGGGGGTACAGTGACCTGAAGAACATCGATCGTTCAGCTAAACGGCATAACAAAAGCAGGGAGCATATACATGCCCAAATCAGATTCAAGCTTCTAATAATAATATGCCATTTAGCAGACGCTTTTATCCAAAGCGACTTACAGTCATGCGTGCATAAATTTTTTTGTGTATGGGTGGTCTTGGGGATTGAACCCACTACCTTGGCGTTACAAGCGCCGTGCTCTACCAGCTGAGCTACAGACCTTCGTCATGTAATGGACGAAGGTTACAGACCTTCGTCATGTAATGGACGAAGGTCTGCGTATTGAAACTGCGCAACACAACGAGAAAGAAACGGATGTTCTCAAGCGGCTTATCGACCACTGCATTTTTTGGCATGCAATAATAGGCTTTTAGAGGACATGACGAGAGGGAAAGTTCTGCTAACAAGGGCAACTACACGGAGCTTGCAGAGGTAATTGCACATTAAGATGCTTTACTTGCTGAACATATGGAACTTTCGACTGTGATTTATGGGATGTCAAAATCAATTCAGAATGATTTGATAGCTTCCATCGCATCATCCATTAAAAGTGAGATTAAAGAGAGGTTGATGCAGCGTACTTTCACACCCGCTCAAGTAGGCTTTCCACTTTCCTTCTGTATTTATTTAGCAAAGGTGATAACACATAATCACTGCGGACAGACACAAGCAAAATCTCATGACATAAATGTTGCAGCAGCCTAGGCTACACCTAAACTGGCTAGGCTGCCTATATGTTTTCAATCCAAAATTAATAACTGAATGAATCAGTCAACATAGTAGTGATGACAGACTTGAGTAAAAACATGTATTAGGCCTATGGTTGCATAGGCCTGCGTGATGCAAACATGCATAAAGCAAGCTCAACCCTGTGAGTTCTATTGTCTATCAGTTGTTGTCTGGGTAGAGGAAATCCCCCTCTTTTAATCTAGTCTAAATATAATTCATATGAATAAGTATAAGGTTGCTGCAGTTTTACAGGGTTTTCATCCCCCCCAGGGCCAGGAGTTTTTTTTCTTTCAGGAGTAAATAAATAAATAATATGATCTGATTTAGGTAAAACTGGTCCCATCATAGCCCATATGAAACCTTTTTACAACTGATAATCACTGTCATACCATATAGGGTCCAGAGTTTTCATGGTTTGGTTAACAGATAAGGAATAACTCTGGGCCCCAGGGGGAAATATTTTCCCCACCACTCTGGGACCTATGGTGCCACAAGTCTGCTTGCAGTTGTCAGTTATCGCCAGGTATGTGGACGATCAGGGCTTTATTCAGGAACGTTTCTTGGGCTACTTTGATGTGTCAAGTGGGCGAGATGCACAGTCTGTGTTTGACTTTGTGAATTCTGAGATGTCTGAGTTTAACTTCATGGAGAAACTCGTTGCCCAAACCTACGATGGCGCAGCTGTAATGAAATGTATCTGCTATTTGTATTTCCAGCAAAGTCGCCTTCTGTTTCCTGAATTTAAGCGGTGATGACCACTCCACTACCATTGTCAACTCTCTCCTGACATGAACTGAAGCCACGTCTCATGTGCCCTCTCATCCACTGGCACATTGAATGTTTCCTCTCCAAGCACTGTGAGTACCGCTATCAATTTTCTCATTCCTGTATGTAGAGTCAATCACACACACAAACACAATCACATTATTACACATCAATGATTTTACTCCTTGCTTGGACGAACTCATTCTTAGCTCTTTCGTCTAACTGTGTAGTGTATTGTGTTATTGTTTTTTGTCTTCCAAGTCAAATCCTGTCCTGCCCTCAGTAGAAGAGTTGAGCTCTTCTCTAACACCATCCATCCATGATGAGCCTGTCCTGCACTGAAGCCTGTGAACACCTCAACCCTTTTCCTGCACTGAAGTCAAGCCTCTGAACACCTCAACTCATGCCTCATACCCACATTCAATCACTGCTGTGATCCCTTCCCAACACTGTGTAAGTAGCCCTCTCATTCCCATTGTTGTAATATTGTACTATAAATGTATTTATTAAATGCTTTAGGTTAAAATAATTAGTTGGACAATTTTTTGAAACGCACTTTGTCGTCTCTGTGCGTTCCGCACCTATACCATGGGTCTGCCATCCTCCTCAATTGTTCAAGTCACCATCCTCCACTGATAGATATAAGCTCCCAGTAATTTATTGGGTAAACCACCAACGTTTCAGCATCACAATGCCTTCTTCAGGACGTAAAATGGCTATAGGTTCATCTGCTTCACCTAAAGCCTATTCTCGTAGGAAGTTGCTATAGACCACCGAGTGCTAAAAGTCAGTATTTGGACTATATGTGTAAAATGCTCGATAATGTATGTGATATCAACAGAGAGGTATATTTTCTGGGGGACCTAAATACTGACTGGTTGTCATCAAGCTGTCCACTCAAAAATAATCTTCAAGCTGTAACCGATGCCTGCAATCTGGTTCAGGTTATCAGTCAACCTACCAGGGTATTTACAAACAGGAACTAAATTATCCACGTGTACTGACCACATCTTTACTAATGTGGCAGAAACTGCTCTAAAGCTGTAGCCACACCCATCAGATGTAGTGATCATAATAGCCATATCTAGAAAAATCTTAAGTTCCAAAGACTGGACCTAAAATTGTGTATAAGCGATATTACAAGACGGGGGAGGTTTGTCACTGGGCTAACAAAGGGAAGGGGCCCTTCACAAAAACATACTGTTGTTCTTCTCTAGGTTAAGACCTCTAGAGACTAAAGTGTCTAAGGAATGGATCCAGATGGTGTCTCTCGACCTTCAGTGTTTGTCAATGCAGCTTTTAATATCATTGATCGTTGCTGAAAAAATGTAGGTGTTATGGATTTACATCCTCTGCCTTATCATGGATTGAGAGATACCGTAAAGGTTTTCTTGAATGGAAGCCTCTCTAATGTGTGGTGTACTGCAGGGCAGCTGGCTTGGGCCATTATTGTGTTCTGTTTTTACTAATGACCATCTGACCTTGAATAAAGCCTGTGTGTCTATGTACGCTGAAGACTCAACCGTGTACACGTCAGCTAAGACAGTGAACTAAATAACTGACACCCTTAACATAAAGCGTCAGTTATTTTTATAATGGGTAACTAGCAATAGGCTGGCGTTAAATATCTCAAACTAAAAGCATTGTTTTTGGGACAAATCACTCACTCAGCCCTAAACCTCCTCTAGATCTATTACTGACTAATGTGGTGATTGAGCAAGTTGAGGAGACTAAACTGCTGGGTGTAATCCTAGATAGCAAGCTGTCATGGTCAAAACATATAAACTCAATGGTTGGTCAAATAGGAAGCGGTCTATCCATGATAAGGCGTTGCTCTGCTTTCTAGACATTTAAATCAACCAGGCAGGTCCTACAGACCCTAGTTCTGTCGCACCTGGACTACTGCGCAGTTGTGTGGTCATGTGCGACAAAGAAGGACATAGGAAAATTGCAGTTGGTCCAAAACAGAGCAGCACATATTGCACTTAGATGTACACGGAGGGTGAATGTCACTAACATGCATGTCAGTCTCTCTTGGCTCAAAGTTGAGGAGAGATGGACTGCATCACTATTGGTCTTTGTGCGAGGTGTTGATGGGTTAAAGGTACCAAACTGTATTTTCAAGCAGTTGGCACACAGTTCGACACTCATCGGTACCACACAAGACATGCAGCCAGAGGTCTCTTCACAGTCCCCAGGTCCAGAACAGAGGCTGGAAAAATGCACAGTATTTAATAGAGCCATGACTGCAAGGGACACTCTGCCACCCGAGGTAACGCAAGCTAGCAATAAAACCAGATAAAAGACATCTTCAGCACGACAGGGATTGTGAAGAGACAGACATTTTTATAGATTTTGTATTGTGCATCATTATGTACTGTTATGTATTTTATTTGTTGTGTTTTGTTTCCTGTTTGGACCACAGGAAGAGCCTTGGTAGCGGCTTGTTGGGGATCCTAATAAAATATTAAACAAACATCGATTCAGAGCATTGGGATTCCATGTTATTGTTGTCAAAAATAGCTTCTCACTGCCTTGCTCTGTCGTTGGGGTAATCAGGAGCTCATGATCTCTGTCACGCTTCAGCATTGAAAATAAAAGACATTGTGCACAAATGAACTGAAATCAATTCGTCCTTGGAGCAACAATGTCCTGTATTCATAATACAAAATTATATTTCCTATACAAAAACAATGATACATGTCGATTAATTTATTGTAAATATTTCCTGCAGAAGTTGATTTCTTTCTAAATGGTCTCCCCTGCTATTGTGTTAAAGGATCAGTGAGACGTCCAATAAATTAAACATTCTGGCACATGAAGAATCCTCACCTTTAGCCCCAACTCCCTATTAGAATGGATCCTAACATAGAACCCGAGAGGGAGGATGGTTGGGGCTGAGCTTGAGGTGAGGTTTAGGAGTGCAACTAAAGGATACATTCTGCCATTGACCATTTTAAGTATTTTCCTGACAGTAATGCTGTTATCATCTGTTATTGGACATTTTGTAATTTCTCCTGGAAAGCTCCATCCAACTTCACTTATCAGCTTCCATGTTGGAAATTCAATTGGGGAACATTGTGGTAATATGGTTGTACCTTGACTTTCCTTGTCAGATAGTACAGTGTCCAACTTCTGAAGAGTGCATGAACGCAGCATTAGACAAACACTCTACGGCACCGTATTTAGTGTTTTCCTGACTGACTTCACCATCCAGTGATGTTTGACGTGGGTGGAGTAGGTGCCCAATCAGGGTAAGTATCCATGTCAAACAGTGGAATTCCCCATGTTGTCACAGCCAATAACACTGCAAGGACACTGATTACATTCACACCAATCCCCGCCTTCACCTGAAATGACAATAATCAAGCAGCATTAGACAAGCATAAAGCCATGGTTAGCATTCATTAGCCTGGGCGCCAGACCTAGTGGTAGGTCAACAGGCTTTGACCTGTGTACTAATGAGGGTTTGTGTTGTATACCGGGTAAACTAAACCAGAACTAGCCCTTCTGGATTAATTCAACCTGGTTCTTTGAAACTGGCCTATGTGTAGTGCATATACTTTGAGGCGATGTGCACTCACCATATCCATGGTGGTGAGGTGGCCATAGGCAAACACAATGGCATTGGAAGGGTTGGATGAGGGAAGCAGGAAGGCAAAGGATGTGCAGAGGGTTGTGGGTATCAATATGTAGAGCGGGTTCACACGGATAGTTTCGGCCTGCCATTCATGGAGCATGGGAAAGAAGAGGCATTCAGATACACGTCAAAACAAGAAACCGTTTTTTGTTTTGTTTTTTGTATGTCTATTATAGTAGCAGAATAAGTTATTTTTGCAACATGTTCATATTGCAGCTAATGATCCCCCAACTGCAGTATCCGTTCCATTACATTAATGGTTTTTAGCCACTGAGAAATTATATTGCATAACATTTCTGTCATTTAGCAGACAATTTACAGTGGAACAAAGGGATAAACAGGAAATAAATAATATTGCAATCAAATAATTCATAACTCAGAGGAAAATATATCTCTGAACGCACCAGAGGGGCAAGGATGGGGAGGAAGATGGTGATGGTGGCTGCATTGCTGGCCAGCTCTGTGACTGAGGTGACAAGGACACAGGCAATGGTGACTGTTGCTATGATGGGGAGGCTCCCCATAGGAGATAGCAGGTTTGCCACCCAGGAGGACAGACCAGACACCTGCAGTTGGGACAGACAGACTGTAGGAATGCTGTAGATACGTTTTATTATTAGCGAGCGTCATGGGACATTTCCCCATACATTGACAGCGTGTGGATGTCTAGCCTTCGTCCTAGTATACATTCATTCTATATTCATACAAATGACACAAAGAAATGTGACAGTAGCGTCAGACAACATCAGTGCGATAGCTACAAACCTTTGGCTGTATAAGTAGGGCATGGTCTATACGGCTGCGTTTAGTCAGGCAGTCCAATTCTGATATTTATTCTACTAATTGGTCTTTTAACCAATCACATCAGATCTTTTCACATCAGATCTTTTTCAGATACTGATCTGATTGGTCAAAAAAGATCAGAATTGGGCTTCCTGTCTAAATAGCCTAAGAAGCTTGGAATACTTTTAACACAGGGGTGACTAATTTCCTTGACACATTGAAGCACTGAGATTATGATATGGCTGGAGCGTAAAGGTTTTAGACTAGATGGTACCTGGGTGCCCTCAGCAAGTGCAAAGCCCCCACCAACAAGTAGGGTGACTTCCCATGGCATACAGGCCTGGAACTCTTTCCACGAGATCATGGCCTCTAGAAACAGAGAAACCGAAAGTTGAACCATCATGAAGCCTGTGTTACGCTGCCACAGAAACACAATCTGTGCAATAGTTTATGCGACGACAAGAAAAATTGTGGGTGCACTGGGGAAACGCTTTACTGTTAAATTGTAGCCAGTTATCATTCTTATGAGTGACCATCTCTGTGAGTATGCCCAGGTGTAATGCTATTCGGGGTACCGTACCATATTTGATACCGTGTTTATCTGCAGAAGGCTTGTGTGCTGGCATGATGAAGAACACGAGCCCCAGCAGTAGGGCCACAGTGGCGTCACTGATATAGCCCGCATATCTATATGAAGAGAATGAGGACATGTGCCTTTTTAGTCCCATTTCACAAAACCTTTTTAAAACATGCGTTGCTGGGGAGTGGCGCTGCGCTGCAAAAGTTATAGTAGAAGAGGGTATTGAACTCACTGAGGGAGGAAGGTTGAGGCCCAGCCTGGCATAAATCCAGGGTCTCTGAAGACCCACAGCGCCACCATCAGGATGAACATCACCCCGGTCACAACCTCCTGGGGACTGAAACAAGGGGGAAGAAAACAGGTTGTTAGGATCGGATGTCCTGCAATACACAGACACTCTCAAACAAAAGTATGCGTGAACTTTCTAATCAACACAGATATTCAAACAAGAAAAGAGGGGGTAAAGCTTTAAGGGTCACCTCGTAGGCCCCAGCTTGTTGTAGTCCTCCTCTATGACCCTGGCTGTTGCAGTCTCTCTCTCGGAGCGCTCTCCACTAGGACGGAACAGCACCCTGAAGCTGCATGGGTTTATTGAACACATTACATTGTTGAAGGAAGACATGCCTGCAATGCAATTCATTTTTCAAAGCATACAAACATAGTTGTGCCATTCAGGGAAAACAACTGCTTCAAACAGGACAATTAACATGACAGTCAGCAATGCGTTAATGGGGCTTCCCCCAATTATGTAGACCAAGGGTTTCAAATAATTTTTGCCCACGGGCCACATTCGATCGTGACCAAGGTCCGGAGTAGCCTCATCCTGATCTCATGAGCTCACATTCTGTTTCGCTATCCGTGTAGCGAAACATAATGTGAGCTCGCGAGATCAGGATGGTGTGTACGAGGCTAGGTCCGGAAGGCCGCACTTAAAATTGATTATATTTCCTCAAAATTTGCAAAACATTGTTCTTTATCCATCGCTTTTGGAATTTTCTATGCTCCCTGACTTTCTAGCTTTTGTTTAGATGGCTGTTACCAATTGTCGATGCTTCCTGACTTTCTAGCTTTTGTTTAGATGACTGTTACCAATTGTCGATGCTTCCTGACTTTCTAGCGTTTGCTTCGATGACTGTTGGCAAGCTGGACCGAGTGAAGAAACTATAAATGTACGTCCATTATGATTTCTACACAGTTTCAAATTGGTTTTAGTAATTTCAATGATCGTTTTTTCCAGAAAAAAAACAACGAATGTTGCCGCGGGCAGGATTAAATGGGCTCTTGAGTTTGACACGTGCTGTACAGATGATTAACCCATTCTCTCTTGTTGTATCATGAGTAAGCCTTTCAGTTAATAAATTACTCATGCAGGCCAGTCTGCCCTGTGGGACTGGTGGTTACCTTTACAGTGACAGGCAGAGAGCCCTGGTGTAAAATAGTGTTTGAGTGAGAAGTTAAGACATAAAAGAGAGAGTGATGGGAGGGAGGAATGGCAAGGAAAGAACACCGAACGGATAAGGTGTGATACTTAGGGTCAAGGATGAGGCCGATTTAGGTTAACGACAACAGTGATCTGATGAGACAAGCGAGAAACTGGAGTATTGAGTGAAGAAATGGTGAAATGCTCATTAACGCCTTGAAATGGTGTTTACTCACTCTGAGCCGATGAACATCCAGTGCAGCCATATCCATGACAACAGCAAAGCAATGATGCTGATTGGCAGACACAAGACGATCCAGTTTCCAAAGTTTACGGAGGTGCATTCTGGGTAAAACCTGTCATTGAATGGAGATGTTTCAAGTTTTATTAGTTGTATGTACAAGATACATGGTATACACCGTCCAACAAAATGCTTACTAAAAGGTTCCTACTCGACAATGCAACAACAATAAATAATGAAATATAATAATACGAACATGAAGTAAATGGCTCAGTAGAATATAATAAACATTTTAGCATGTTCAAGTATACAGCAGTATTGCACCGTACAGAGTGCAACCCTTTCTATCATACTCTATGAATCATTGACCAAGCCACTTGTATTCCTCTGTTACGATGCATTCTCAAGATTTCTATTGCATACAGTATAGGGATATGTCACAGGAGGTTGGTGGCACCTTAATTGGAGAGAACGGGCTTGTGGTAATGATAGGAGCGGAATAGGTGGAATGGTATCAATACATCAAACACATGGTTTCGAAGTGTTTGATGCCATTCACTCCGTTCCAGCCATTATTATGAGCCGTTCTCCCCTCAGCTGCTTCCTGTGATATGCATTGTGTATATAAAGTCTGACCACCACTAGATATAGCTGATTAAGAACTCACTGATGGATGTACTCTGAAAAGATGAGATTGGGGGAGGTCCCAGTCAGGGTGGAAATCCCTCCTATAGAGGAAGCGTATGCGATGCTTAGGCACAGCCCCTTGCACATCATGTGTTCTCTCTTAGTCCGGTAGCGCCCCTCTATCTTTTGCCCAATCGCCTTTAAGAAGACAAAATAGATAGTAGTGTGTAATTTACTGTCTTTACCTTGTTAGCCCATTGTGATACAGTGCTATGGCAGTGTTATAAGCTTTTGATAAGTGAGCCATCTACAGGTAACTGCCAAAATAAAGGAAACACTTAAGTAAACGAGGGATACAAATTATATTGAAAACAGATGTTAAATTTTTTTGTTGAAAAAAACAAACAATTAACACCCCATCATGCTTAGAGTCATGTATAAAAATGCCCAGTTGCCCATTAATTTGGCTACCAGGGCTAGAAGAAGAGATCTGTGACTTTTGAAATGGGGGTCTCAAAAGAGCATAGGGGGTTTAAACCAGATCACCAGATCTCAACCCAATTGAACACTTATGGGAGAATCTGGAACGGCGCCTGAGACAGCGTTTTCCATCACCATCAACAAAACACCAAATTATGGAATTTCTTATGGAAGAATGGTGTCGTATCCCATCCTATAGAGTTCCAGACACTTGTAGAATCTATGCCAAGGCACATTGAAGATGTTCTGGCAGCTCATGGTGGCCCAACGCCCTAAGACACTTTACGTAGGTGTTATTTCCTTTATTTTGGCAGTTACCTGTACAACGTACATTGGTCTGAGAGGGTGCTTCCTCTGGAGTAGTGTACTCCGTTTCATCTGGTTCCTTATTTGCTCTACCAGAGGTAAAAAAGAGAATTACAAATGTGAAATTAAAGCAGGACAAGGTATGAGGACAATTGATACAATGCTAAAGAAAATGTTTACGTTATCAAACAGTTGTTGACAGTGTAAACAAATCAAAATCTTGGATTGCGGTCTCTCCTTCTTCATTGACTGCTTTTAAGGTAAGGACATTTTGAAGTAATTAAATATATGCAGAGGAATTCCAAAATACCTTATTGGTTCTTCATTTTTCTCACACGGTTCCTCAGTCTCTGTAGGAATAATGTGGAGTTCTGAATCTTCCAAATCTTAAATTCCTACCAATAACTAAGTTATGTGGGTAATGTATGGATCATTATTGTGCTTCCTCACCTTCCAGTTCTAGGCCAAGGTTGCTGGTGCCTGTCATTGCTCGCTGGCGCTGCTCACCTTCTCCCTCTGCATTCAAGATCTGCTGAATGATTGCCTCAACGATGGGCATCACCATGGCAACGGCGGATGTGTTTTGGACCCACATGGAGAGGAAGGCACAGCTGTTCATGAAGCCCAACATTAGCCTGCAAAGAGACATCCACATGGGCGCTAACCAATGAAAATGGGTGGTTCGCCAAATTACCCTTAGGCTGCGTTTACACAGGGTGCCCAATTCTGATTTTTTTTCTCCTAATTGGTCTTTTGACTAATCACATCAGATATTTTTTAGAGCTCATCTGATTGGTCCAAATACAAATTAGAAAAAAAATCAGAATTGCTCTGCCTGTGGTAGTGCCACTGCCATAGTGATTCAGACGATTCTAGAACTTGAGAAACAGCTCCTCTGCTGTGTTTAGTGTTGATATCTTTAAAACACATGGTCCTCCAAGATGGTGACACATTTGGTATTTTGGGTATTTTATTAGCATCCCCATTAGTTGTTGCGAAAGCAGCAGCTCCTCTTCCTGGGGTAACACACAACACAACGTGAAACATGACATAATACAGAACATTAACAGACAAGAAAAGCTCAAGGACGGAACTACATAAATGTAAAACATCACACATAGCCTACATACCAGTACATACATACAAAACATCTAGGTCAAATAGGGGAGAGGCGTTGTGCCATGAGGTGTTGCTTTATCTGTTTTTTTAAACCAGGTTGGCTGTTCACTTGAGCAATCTGAGATGGAAGGGAGTTCCATACAATCATGGCTCGATATAATACTGTAAATTTTTTAAAATTTGTTCTGGATTTGGGGACTGTGAAAAGACCCCTGGTGGCATGTCTGGTGGGGTAAATGTGTGTCAGAATTGTGTGTAAGCTGACTATGCAAACAATTGTGATGCAGTCAGTCTCTATTCTACATTTAGCCAAGAGAGATTGGCATGTACAGTTGAAGTCGGAAGTTTACATACACTTGGGTTGGAGTCATTAAAACTCATTTTTCAACCACTCCACGAATTTCTTGTTAACAAACTATAGTTTTGGCAAGTCGGTTAGGACATCTACTTTGTGCATGACACAAGTAATTTTCCCAACAATTGTTTACAAACAGATTATTTCACTTATAATTCACTGTATCACAATTCCAGTGGGTCAGAAGTTTACATACACTAAGTTGACTGTGCCTTTAAACAGCTTGGAAAATTCCAGAAAATGATGTCATGGCTTTAGAAGCTTCTGATAGGCTAATTGACATCATTTGAGTCAATTGGAGGTGTACCTGTGGATGTATTTCAAGGCCTACCTTCAAACTCAGTGCCTCTTTGCCTGACATCATGGGAAAATCAAAAGAAATCAGCCAAGACCTCCGAAAAAAATTGTAGACCTCCACAAGTCTGGTTCATCCTTGGGAGCAATTTCCAAACGCCTGAAGGTACCACGTTCATCTGTACAAACAATAGTATGCAAGTATAAACACCATGGGACCACGCAGCCATCATACCACTCAGGAAGGAGACGCATTCTATCTCCTAGAGATGAACTTACTTTGGTGTGAAAAGTGCAAATCAATCCCAGAACAACAGCAAAGGACCTTGTGAAGATGCTGGAGGAAACAGGTACAAAAGGATCTATATCCACAATAAAACGAGTCCTATATCGACATAACCTGAAAGGGCGCTCAGCAAGGAAGAAGCCACTGCTCCAAAACCGCCATAAAAAAGCCAGACTACGGTTTGCAACTGCACATGGGGACAAAGATCGTACTTTTTGGAGAAATGTCCTCTGGTCTGATGAAACAAAAATAGAACTGTTTGGCCATAATGACCATCGTTATGTTTTTAGAAAAAAGGGGGTCGCTTGCAAGCCGAAGAACACCATCCCAACCGTGAAGCACGGGGGTGGCAGCATCATGCTGTGGGGTGCTTTGCTGCAGGAGGGACTGGTGCACTTCACAAAATAGATGGCATCATGAGGAAGGAAAATGATGTGGATATATTGCAGCAACATCTCAAGACATCAGTCAGGAAGTTAAAGCTTGGTCGCAAATGGGTCTTCCAAATGGACAATGACCCCAAGCATACTTCCAAAGTTGTGGCAAAATGGCTTAAGGACAACAAAGTCAATGTATTGGAGTGGCCATCACAAAGCCCTGACCTCAATCCTATAGAACATTTGTGGGCAGAACTGAAAAAGCGTTTGCAAGCAAGGAGGCCTACAAACCTGACTGAGTTACACCAGCTCTGTCAGGAGGAATGGGCCAAAATTCACCCAATTTATTGTGGGAAGCTTGTGGATGGCGACCCAAGTGAATCAATTTAAAGGCAATGATACCAAATACTAATTGAGCGCATGTAAACTTCTGACCCACTGGGAATGTGATGAAATAAATAAATCATTCTCTCTACTATTATTCTGACATTTCACATTCTTAAAATAAAGTGGTGATCCTAACTGACCTAAGACAGGGAATGTTTACTAGGACTAAATGTCAGGAATTGTGAAATACTGAGATTAAATGTATTTGGCTAAGGTGTATGTAAACTTCCGACTTCAACTGTATATGATGGTGTGCATAGACAGTATGAATAGTATATGAATAGAAAAGGCGTGTACAGCCGTAGTTTATATAGGATGAGCCTTGACTAGAATACAGTATATAGATATGAAGTGGGTAAAACAGTATGTAAACATTATTAAAGTGACCAGAGTTCAATGACTATGTACATAGGGCAGCAGTTTCTAAGGTGCAGGGTTGAGTACCGAGTGGTAGCCGGCTAGTAACAGTGACTAAAGTTCAGGGCAGGGTACTGGGTGGAGGCCGGCTAGTGGTGAATATTTAACAGTCTGATGGCCAGGAGATAGAAGCTGTTTTTCAGTCTCTCGGTCCCAGATTTGATGCATCTTTATTGTCTCCACCTTACATTTACATTTTAGTCATTTAGCAGACGCTCTTATCCAGAGCGACTTACAGTTAGTGAGTGCATACATTATTTTAAAAAAAAATTGACATTTTTTTTTTTAAAATTATATTTTTTATACTGCCCCCCCGTGGGAATCGAACCCACAACCCTGGCGTTGCAAACGCCATACTCTACCAACTGAGCTACCTCCCTGCCAGCCATTCCCTCCCCTACCCTGGACGACGCTGGGCCAATTGTGCGCCGCCCCATGGGTCTCCCGGTCACGGCCGACTACGACAGAGCCTGGATTCGAACCAGGATCTCTAGTGGCACAGCTAACACTGCGATGCAGTGCCTTAGACCACTGCGCCACTCGGGAGACGATGTCACCTTCTAGATGGTAGCGGGGTAAATAGGCCATGGCTCGGGTAGCGGAGGTCCTTGATGATTTTCTTGGCCTTCCTGTGACACTGGGTGCTGTAAATGTCCTGGAGGGCAGGCAGTGTGCCCGTGGTGATGCGTTGGGCTGACCACACCACCCTCTGGAGAGCCCTGCGGTAGCGGATGGTGCAGTTGCCGTACTGAGCGTCTGCTAAATGACTAAAATGTAAAAATGTCAGTGGAACTCCGAGACAGGATTGCGTTGAGGCACAGATCTGGGGAAGGGCACCAAAACATTTCTGCAGCTTTGAAGGTCCCCAAGAACACAGTGGCCTCCATCATTCTTAAATGGAAATAATTTGGAACCACCAAGACTCTTCCTGGAGCTGGCTGAGCGGCCAAACTGAGCAATCGGCGGAGAGAAGGGCCTTAGTCAGGCAGGTGACCAAGAACACGATGGTCACTCTGACAGAGATCCAGAGTTCCTCTATGGAGATGGGAGAACCTTCCAGAAGAACAACCATCTCTGCAGCACTCCACTAATCAGGCCTTTATGGTAGAGTGGCCAGACGGAAGCCACTCCTCAGTAAAAGGCACATGATTGCTTGCTTGGAGTTTGCCAAAAGGCACCTAAAGAACTCTCAGACCATGAGAAACAAGATTCTCTGGTCTGATGAAACCAAGATTGAAGTCTTTGGCCTGAATGCCAAGCGTCACGTCTGGAGGAAACCAGGCACCATCCCTACGGTGAAACATGGTGGTGGCAGCATCATGCTGTGGGGATGTTTTTTAGTGGCAGGGACTGGGAGACTAGTCAGGATCGAGACAAAGATGAACGGAGCAAAGTACAGAGATATCATTGATGAAAACCTGCTCCAGAGTGGTCAGGACCTCAGACTGGGGCGAAGGATCACCTTCCAACAGGACAATGACCCTAAGCATACAGCCAAGACAACGCAGGAGTAGCTTCGAGACAAGTCTCTGAATGTCCTTGAATGGCCCAGCCAGAGCCTGGACTTGTACCCGATCTAACATCTCTGGAGAGACCTGAAAATAGCTGTGCAGCGACACTCCCCATCCAACCTGACAGAGCTTGAGAGGATCTGCAGAGAAGAATGAGAGAAACTCCCCAAATACAGGTGTGCCAAGCTTGTAGCAGCATACCCAAGAAGACTTGAGGCTGTAATCGCTGCCAAAGGTGCTTCAACAAAGTACTGAGTAAAGGGTCTGAATACTTATGGAAATGCTGTATTTAAGTTTTTTATCTTTAATACATTTGCAGAAATTTCTAAAAACGTGTTTTTGCTTTGTCATTATGGGTATTGTGTGTAGATTGGTGAGGGGGAAAAAAAATATCTCATCCATTTTAGAATATGCACCCATTTTAGAATATGGCTGTAATGTAACAAAATATGGGAAAAATTAAGGGGTCTGAATACTTTTTTAAAATTGTTTTATTGGGGGGGTAGATCAGCTTAATATTGCAGATAGATTGTAACTTCCATCAATGTAATTGTCTGCATCACTTCCAATCCCCCATGTTATTTATATACAGTGGGGGAAAAAAGTATTTAGTCAGCCACCAATTGTGCAAGTTCTCCCACTTAAAAAGATGAGAGAGGCCTGTAATTTTCATCATAGGTACACGTCAACTATGACAGACAAATTGAGATTTTTTTTCTACAGAAAATCACATTGTAGGATTTTTTATGAATTTATTTGCAAATTATGGTGGAAAATAAGTATTTGGTCACCTACAAACAAGCAAGATTTCTGCCTCTCACAGACCTGTAACTTCTTCTTTAAGAGGCTCCTCTGTCCTCCACTCGTTACCTGTATTAATGGCACCTGTTTGAACTTGTTATCAGCATAAAAGACACCTGTCCACAACCTCAAACAGTCACACTCCAAACTCCACTATGGCCAAGACCAAAGAGCTGTC